GTCACGTGTTTTATTCTCACTTGGGACATTTTCGTATAAATCATTTCCCGCCTTACATTTAGTCACGTGGTTTTTATAGAAGTTTTGGCGCTCCTGAAGTAGGTGCACCAAGATGGCGCACAACCTTAATCCTAACCTGGTACACATACTATATTCAGGTTGAGTTGAGTTACACTGAGTGACTTGTTGGCACGGTAAATGGCGCCCAGGGCCAAGTTCTATATACGCCTCTTGATCGTTGACTAGCAGTTTTTAATGACTGTTGTTGAATTGAGATACTTGTAGGTTATTATTCAAGTAAAAAAAGGAATTTCAAGCATTTTCATTTGAAATTATTTTATTGAAATTTTTTTGATCAAAACCTTTCTTTTTTGTATGTCCCTTTCCAATAGAAATTGGAATTAATCGCACATTGACTAGATTGAATTGAAAACTGGTTTCGCGGGCCACGCACCATTCAAAATTGTCACTTCTCCGCGAGCTGCACAATTTCCCCTCTCCGGCCCCATTTGGCCCGCGGGCCAGAGGTTGAACACCCTGGTCTAATCAATAAACCCACCAACTTCGGTTGGTCACGTGATATTGAATTAAAATTGTTTGTGAAACCAGTTATAGACCATAGTTTGATCCGCGCCAAACTTTAAATTAAGTAAACTCTTGACGAGTATTTGTTTTTAAATTCTGTCATCAATGGCAAGGCGGGTCGAAACTGTTCTGTCAAAACAGTATACCGTGAGAATGGGGGCATTGGAATCGATCATGGTACACTTCTTTTTTAATTAAGTCGAGATGTTTTTAAATCAAGGCAGCAAGGGCGCTAAATTCTTTGGCCGTTCGTTCCGTTAGGTTATCCTCATATGTTTTTACCAGCTCCGCAGCTTTCACGAAAGAGAAATTTTTCGACTTACTAGCGCAATATGGTTCCAATAAATTGAAATCCAAACATCTTCTGACTAGGCAAAGGCCGATCAAATATATTATGCCTGTACTTCCAACATCTATGCAGCTTAAACATGGCATTCTATAATTATTCGAGTGCAATATGCACAGCCCCAGACATATACGGCGTAAGTGTGTCCGGATATAAATATTTCAATATATTTTGTAAGAAAACCTCTGTTCGAAACAAGCCATAGATAAATATTCAAATGTATACGTCTTTACCGCCCATTTGTTAGAGTTCTGAACATACAGAATGTGGCGTTGTACTTATTTCAAATATATTTTATACGTCCTCAAAGATCTCCGGCCTAAACATAGCCTTCTATAAAATATTCGGACCTCCTGAAGTATGCGCACCAAGATGGCGCACAACCTGAACTCAGATTGTGTACCAGGTTAGGGTTCAGGTTATGCGACTTTTGTTGCGCATACTTCAGGAGTACCAAATATTCAAATATATTATGTACAGTATCAAACATCTACGAAAAAACATGGTCGTGTATAAATTTAACAATATATTGTGTAATGCTTCGAAACATCTCTTTATCAAATATGGGCATATATAATTGCTAAATGTGACCTTTATATATTCATTCTATATTTTATTGAATTTCCTACTAGCCTGCAGCACCTCTGGCCTGTCGAGCGCTACAAAATTATCTCCGATCCAAACACGGCCTCATATAAATATTTTAGCATACTAAATACTGGCCAGCAATTTCTCGTTCAAGCAAGGCCGATGATGAATATCGAATATACCCAGATTTTTGTTTCGCTGGTCAAATCTCCTGCGCTTAGTAAAATGACAGTGAGAAATGGGTTATCGGTAGCTTTATAATCCCATGGCATGCTCCTTATACGTGTGGGTCTTAAGGTGATGTGGCCTTATTCATGGTTGGATATCACGGTCTTTGCCAAGTAAATATAATAATAGGAGGAATGTCTCGTCTGGTAGAATCTGTGAGCTGATATAATCCACCCCTTGTCACTCAAGAGACGAGAGAGACAAAGCACGCTCCTATTTTAAATAAAATATTTGTTTTTCCTCGCCCCGTTTGACATTGGAATGTTCGATTCTCGAAGTAGTTCGGGATTCGGAATTTGAGATATAAAATGCGCGCGATGGATGGTCTGGTAGCTAAAACGTTAGACTTAACTGGGCTGGCATTGTCAATTGAAGATATAGGGTGTAAATCTCGTGCCCACAACTTCACCCAAAACGCGGTAAGTTGTGCGGACAATGGCAAAAGGGAAAAATTGCCGTTCTTTCAAAAATTGTAGCCCCTGGTAATAAAAGAGCCTCAATCGTAGTAGTTTTTTTTTTGCACTGAAACTTCAATGTGGAAGGACAATGTGAAAATTTGATAATATGACCTCGCAATACAAAATAAAAGTAATGATTAAAAAAGATACAATGACTAAGTGACATTGAAAAATGACAGCACAATAAAAGGTCATAATGAAATGTGAAATCACAATCCAAAAAACTTGTAATGGTAAAACCATCATATTAAAAATAACATCATTTTTAATCCTGAGGACGCCACTCTTCCTTCTCCGTAATTACATCAATGGTCATCGGTCCATAGTTCAGAATTGCAGAAAAATTTCTCGATATTATTACTCGTTGAAAGATTCATCGCTCGACAAAATGTTTTCAATACTTCGGTTAAATATTTAGACCACACACATCTGCCCCTTCTGATCTTGCACCTCTGAGAAATATTTTTGTTTTATTGTCAATGTGCTATACAAAAAGAGGAATTGCTATGCTAATGTTTTTTTTCAATAATTGTGGATTCGCCCTCTGTTAGGTGTTTTCCTAATAATATTGACTTGAACTTCTTGAAATCTCGTCTCGTTCAGTATTTTCTTACAAAAAATGCCGACGCTCTGGTAATATGTGTACCAAGATGACACACAACCTGAACCCTAACCTGGTACACATTCTATGTTCAGGTTGTGCGCCATCTTGGCACACTTACTCCGGGAGCGCCAAAATGCCAGCCATATGAGTAGCATTTTAGTGTTCGAATGTAACTGCGGCTCAGAAATGAGAGATTATATAGCGAATCACATCCTCTTATCCAGTCCATGCCGGGCGGGTATGGCAATATTCGTTTCAAGGGAGGGACCAGAGGGTGATACATCAAGCGTTTTTCTAATGCTTAACACAATGCGCAAGGACCATATGGGCAGTTATTGGTTACAATCGAATTGTAAAAGATTGCGTAACCAAGCGGCGGTTACGTGAACCACGAAACGTGTTACGGCAAAGAGTTCAGAATGCTTCTGCACACCATCACCTCAGCGTAGTTTGCCCATGTCATAAAATAACCCAAGTATAGTAATGGATCAAAGAATAGAGCGCCCTCGCGGCCTTGTTTCAAAGTGTTCATCTGAACACATCGTTAAAAAAGAAGTGTACCACGGTCTATAGTATTTCTATACAATGCCTTCATTCTCATGTTAATCAGTTTTGACAAAAGATGTTTAAACCATAATCGACCTTGCCTGGTCAAAAGACGTCACAATGCTTGCAGAATATGTTTGAGTATTTATAATGGCAATATTTCAGCCGGAGAGGTTTGCCACAAACACACAATATATTCGTATAATTATATATTTCCTGTAGAGATGTTTAAAACCTTTACTCAATATAATTTTATAAGGCCATGTTCGGCCGTAGATGTCTGGGACTTGTGCATGATATATATGATTATTTTATGTAAGGCCATGTTTGAGCCATAGCTCTTGGAAGTACAGACATAATATATTTGGATTTGGATGATGTTTGACCGGCCTTACCTTGTCAGAAAATGTTTTGAACATGTTTCTAACGCTCGGCACGATGCAACAACCGCCAACTTTGAGCAGGCCAATCTATAAAATCGGGCCTTTCTCCATGGTGTAAAAATAGCCCCAAAAATAAGACAAAAAGGCTTTAATGCTTGCGATCGTGATAAATATCTCTGTCTAGAGTTTTTAGCTTTTTTAATCCCGCTCTGTCAACTTATGAAGTTGAATTGTAATCCTTTGAATGCCGCTCGGATTTTCCTGTCAACTTGATCGAATCCATTTACATTTCCCAGCTCTTGCGGTTTCGCGATGTTTACTCGCTCTTAGTTATGACTATGAGTAATTGTTTTTTAGTTTGCGTGATTTATATCCCAATATATTAGGATTTGCAGCCTCACTGCATTTAGAAACGCTATTGGCAGCTTCATAATTCCTCTGGTATGTTTTTATACGTTCACAACTTGGGCAAAGTTTTCGGACCACGTGCCGAACATTTTCGCTTATCAGTGCGAATATGGCTCTGTGCTAGAAACCAAAATATGAATAGTATAACGTAGGAAGAAAATTGTATATGCCGACATAGTGGGGTTGTGTTTGTGCAATATTACCTTAATTGTATAAAAGTTGTGCTGCCAAAGTAGAGCGGCCGTTAAATGCCTGTCATTTCGTAGCAAAGCTGGCAACTCTATTCTGCCACCTAGTGTTCCATGATGCAAAATATATTCAAGCAACAGAATTTTGACAAATTTACCATAGCATATAGGTTAGGATAGGATTTACATATTTATCCCGGGGGAGAGGAAAGCCGATAAGACGGCTTATCCATATGGCGAACCACGGCCTCTCGTCCGGTTACCATTCCAAGTCGGGTATGGGATTAGTTATATTGTTTGTTTTCAGAAGCATGGACTTGGTGGTGGAGGAAGCCGTAACTGACTAGCGGTTACCTGAACCACCCAACGACGGCGAGGAGTCCAGCAATCCTTTCGCACATAACCATCCCTGCATGGGATTCGAACCTGCGAACCCACGCAGAGTAATTAGAGGTGCGGTGGCGAGCGTATTCCTAACGCTTAGCCCGTTGAGCCACACCGCCGCACTTGGTTGTTTGAAACTATGCTCAGAGTCAAGTGTTATTAGTTCAGAATGTGCGCATGTGAACGTGATTGGGTTAGTCCCTAAATGAAAATTATCTATTCATGGATTATCACTGATAGAATTTGTAATTCAGCTTTTTAATGTTCTCTTTTATTTTTCAGAATATTGATGCCTTTCTATGATGAAGACACTGGAATGGTTTTTGTTTCTGCAAAAGTATGATTATTTGTTTATAACATATTTAGGTTGGAACAGGTTAAAATAAATCTTTACTTTTTGGTTGTTTGGTTCGGGGAAGCCAGTAGTTTTGTAGTCGTTGCGGGATCGGAGAGAAATTCTGCCTGCCAGCAATTTCAAACCCAAAATTTTAATTGTTAATTTCAAACAATTTCAATTCAACAAATTCAAAATTAATTTCAAACAATTTCAAACCTAAAAATTCAATTCTTAAATATAAAACAAAGAGAGAGATCTCATCAATTTCTTTCATTTCAGTCTGTTATTTAATTTAGAACTCACTAATTTTATTGATTATTTAAAATGCGTAACTCCCCAACTGATTGTACTGCTTTTCTTGGTATAAATGAACTACGTATGTCTAAAGAAGTCTGACCTTGATCAGACGAAACGTTACAGAAATATATTTGTGTTAGTGTGCAGCAAGACTCTTGAATCACTGAAAATTTAAAATTTTCAATTCCAAGTTGATAAAAAGTTTAACTTTCCAGACAAGAATTTAGCTCTTGCGGACATCGTTTTTTTAAATTGCAGTGCTGGTAAACTATCATTTTTCAGTTGAAAATTTTACCTCTTAACTTTAACTGAAATTCAACTATGAAAGGCAGCCTTATGATGGACAAATTAATACCAGACCCTATTTGTTTATTCTTGCAATTTTTTGTATTAATCTGGTTTTTATATATCACAGGGAGATTCGAATATTTCATTTCTGGAATTCTTCGAAGACAAGAATCCTCCACTTAAGATTGGTGAGTACTTGGGTTTTCCTGCTTCTGTATCTTAAGTCCAGAGCTGTTGAATCGGAAAAATTAACTTTCTAATTCAAACGCCCTGTCGTTTCAAGACAACTCTGGACCAATGAAATACATCAAAAAAATATCATTGGTAATGTTGCATACTGCTTTCTATAAAATTCAAAATTACAGCAGGTCTGAAAAACATGGGATTTCAAAGTGTTTGAGGGTCTAAAAAGCGTTCCAAGCTACGAAAAATTGCTATATATTATACAGAAAAATGCTTTTTCATTTACATTTTGAATGAGGGGGTTTCCGACCCGCAAATCCATCCCAAGGGGTGCGCCCCTGCACATTGCGGTCACAATGAGAAAAGCAACTCAATTTTGATCATACTTTCATTTAATTTCAGCATCACAGCAATTGCTCTCAAACCAAACGAAAGGAATGTGCATGGTCAGCAAGCTCGGAGTGAACGCTGCTGAATGTGAAGTGAATCGCCTGTTTCAACTCGCTCAGAAGATGTTAGTCCCTGTGCCATGGACTGTACCAAGAAAAGTAAGATTTTAATATGTTTTTCCTTATTCCATTTTTCACTTGGGATAGTATGGGATTTAAAAATTTATCCCGGGAGGAGGGAAGCCGATAAGACGGCTTAATCATATGGCGAACCACGGCCTCTCGTCCGGTTACCAGTCCAGGTCGGGTATGGGATTAGTTAGCCAGTTATTTGTTTTCGAACGCATGGACTTGATGGTGAATGAAGCCGATAATCGCCCAGTCCAGCAATCCTCTTGCACAAAGTGTCCCCGCATGGTATTCGAACCTGCAAACCACACAGGGTATTCAAAGGTGCGCATACCTACCGCATAGCACGATGCGCCACACTGCCGAATTAAGGTATATAATGTCTATTATTTAATGAAATGTTACATCTTTCTGAAGAGAGCTATAGGCCAGCTGTCTCTGATATTGAGGACTTTAAAAAGGGACTAGAATCTTTTTAATTGTGCATTCCCTACCCGGCATGACAACCTGGGTCCCCCAGATGCCTATTTTTTAATGAAGTGTTACTTCACTCCGAAGAAGGCTATGAACAAGCATGAAGAAGCAGTGTTCCGAGAACCGGCTTCTTGAAGAGCCCAAGGTCCCAGTTTAAGAAATCCCACTGTAAACAGTATTCTCGTAGTATGTGTACCAGAACTCGTTTAGGCCATAATTTGGTACTCCCAAAGTATGTGAACCAAGATCCAAGAAGGTGGACACCGAAATAGAGTATGAGTACCCGGTCAGGGTTGGGCACTAATTTCAGGTACAAATACTACGGGGTCATTTGGCTCGTTCTCGAACTCGTAATGGAACTAGAATAAGAAAAATTGGTATGAAAATATGGCCTAACCCTAACCTGGTACACATACTACGTTCCAGTGTCCGCCATCTTGGTTCACATACTTCGGGAGTACCCATAACTTTATCTCGATTTTCCTTTTTTAAGTTCTATTGCGAGTTCGGAAACTGTCTGTGTTACCCAAGTAAATATACCCCCTTCCCACAGTTTTCAGTTCCTTCACACAACTTGATGTGAAGTAGGCGAACAAAATTAGTAACCTCCATATTGGAACATACACTTCTGGATCACCCTTTAAACTAATATCGTTTCACTTGGAGTTGGCTTTCCCTGGAATAAATATTAAAATTTTATTATAGCCTTATGTTTAGCATAACCAATTCTAAATTTCTAATCAAAATGCTGAAGACCTAAAATCAAATAATCTTGTTTCAGACTCTCCGCGAATTCCCATCTGATCTATTCCCTGATACTGCGTCAGATGAACCAGGTTTAACTACAAAGCAATGGATTGCCGGGGAGAATGGAAAGGTTAGTATATATATAGTGTTTCCAGTCCCAGGGCAGGAGTTCCCAAACTTTATTGTACGCGGGCCAAAATTAGAATTGGTGTGATGTTTGCGGGCTGGAAGAGTGTAGCGCCAAAAAATGCATGACGGTTTAGCTGGGGTTCAGTGGATTCACAATCTCTGCCATTTATCCAAAGAATGTCTAAAGAGTCTAGTTTTCGTCTGTGTTTTGTCATCTCCAAACTTCCTTACATGGTTGATAGCTAAACGAGAATATCGGTCAGAGACTGAACACTTATCGATCGAAAGTTAGGGGATCTCCCAAAAAAGCGCTCTTACTCCATAGTGACACCTTGTGTCACATCACTAATTAATTATTAACTCGCTAATTATATGACATAATTCATCCAAAATCAATAGGCTTCTGGTCCGACATATGATGAATGCACATGCAAAATCTGGAGCAGATTCAATCTCGCTTTCGTGAGATATCACATGCATCTAACAGACAGACAAATACCTATCAACATACTTACCTATTAAAATCGATAAGTCATTACTGCCCTATGCCTTAATTGAATTGTTACGATAAACATGTGCCTAAACTGTGATAATGACGTAACACTTGGCTCTATCTAGGATGCAAATAAGTAGAAACAAAATCTGTTGAACACTATTTCATTTGAGCTCGGCGGGCCATTTTAAATTGTTTTCTACCCGCGGTTTAAGAAGCCCTGTCCTAGAGCAGTGGTCCAAAGTTGATTATCCCGGGGCCAAAATTAGAAGCTAGAGGATATTCGCGGGCCATGAGAGGGAGTTCAAAGAAACGCTGTTTTGTAAAAAAACATGTTGGGCTGGGATATTGGTTATACTCAATTTTCCGTTTCATTCAGAGAATCAAAACCAGTCTTGAACCTTCAAAACGAAAACCACTGAGACTTGAATCTACAGAAGCTGAGAAACCTCAGCCAGTGAGCCAAACAAATGGAGACTCCACAGCAGAAATTGTCCAGGAGTCAAAACCTGTGGCTAAGGAGCCGATTGCTGCTAAAAATGCAACCAAGGAGCCGATTGCTGCCAAAAATGCAGCCAAAGAGCCAGAACCTGCACCAAAGCCAAAATATGCTCCATTTGCGGGTAAAAGGAATTTTTTGATGATTTCTAGATAAAAGTGTAAAATTTACAGTACACCAGTAGTATGTGTACCAGGTTGGGCCATATTTTTATTCTGATTTTTCTTATTTTAGTTCTATTACGAGTTTGGGGACTGTCTGTGTTAGCCAGGTGAATATACTCCTGTCCATAGGTTTCAGTCTCGTTACATAACTCGATGTAAAGTAGGCGAACAAAATTAGTTACATCCATATTGGTACACATACTTCTGGAGCGCCAAAATCATTGATATGTGTTTAAATTTGGAAAGCAAGAATTAGCTGTAGGAAGGGTTTCTGTGCAAAGTTATGCACTCGTGAACGGTCAAATGGTTTGAGAAAAATTAACAAGTTGTGGGTATCTAGTCTCTTAGCACTAGCTTAAAATTGGAGAAAAATGAAGGTAATACCCTTCCTGGAAAAGTGTCCGTTTCCATCTCTAATTACCTAAAATTTGAAATGGATTGGTTCATTATTCGCAAAGAATGTTTTCAATGTTTTTACCAGGAGTACGAAAATCCAAATTTCGTCATTGGAAATGTACGATTGGTCATCCATCAAGTCATGTGACTAGAGTTGAGCCAATTAGCTTGAGCATATCAACATCTTCAGACTGTTTGAGGTGCAGCCACCTTTATGCTGCAGTACCAATGAAAGGACCTGGTGGGCAAATTGCAATTATAAAGGTGAGAGTTTGGATTTTCAGAATAATATTTTTTTTGTGTATTTCTTTCAATGAAGGCTTCTTACTGGCAGCCACTGGTAGATAAAGGGCTACTGTAGGATAGGATTCACATATTCATCCCGGGGAAGATCCTAAGACGACTTGACCACGGGGTGAACCACGACCTCTCGTCCAGTTACCAATCCATGTCGAGTATGGGATAAGTTAGTTTGTTTCACAGGATTCCAACCTGCAAAGCCACGTAGGGTAATCAAGGTGCAGTGGTGAGCGTATTCCTAACGCTTAGCATGATGCAGCACACCTCATATTATGTCCAAAGTTATGGTGACTGCACTGAAATACTAAAAGCTACCGAAATGATATTATGGCGGTGCATTCCACACTTACAAGCAAAAGAGACTCACAAATCCCTGTGAATATCCCAACAGCTATAATATTTGAAATGAACCCCAGTTTGAATAGCATTTTCCTGACACTTAGCAAGATGGGCCACACTGTCTAGATTTATTTAGTTTGGAAGGCTGGCATGTGGCATCCTTCATTTAGAAATTGCTTTCCCAATTTATTACACCCTGGAGGTATGGACATAAAATTTTGACCTGGGACTTTTAATATACGATATTAACAAAGTTAAATCTAATGCTGGTACGGTACCTAACCATTCTCCACAAATGGAACATTATGAAGGTTTTCAAACGTGGCCCCCAAAAAATACTCTTTGGCCCCTGGGGTAGCAGAGAGCCCAAGGTGAGTAAGCTTAGTATAGAACAGTGATTCTCGAACTTTTTAAGCCGCGCCCCCTTTTTAGAATTTGTCAAGTCTCGCACCCCACCTCAAAAATAACTAACTAACAATAAGCTGAAAATAACAGACAGTAAGGCAAGACTATGTTTTATTCAAAAGTGGGTGGAACGTAAATATTCAAAATAAGGATATGTAAATGTCCAAAATAGGACAGGCAAGATCAAATCTAATAAATGTTTTTAATTAGCTCCAGGCCCCCTCAAAAATTGTCTATGTCCCCCCTTGTGGGACGTGACCCACCGTTTGAGAACCACAGGTATATTACATACCCAATCTTCTGTATAAATAAATATGAACACACAAATTTTCTCAATTTTTTCAGCTTTCCTCTCCAGGAAGAATGACAGAGGATAATTCTCTGACTTTACAAAACTTGAAGACTGTGACTGACCTCCAGTGGAATCCTTTCAACCAATCACAGCTTGCGGTTTCACTCGAAAATTCAAACGTTAAAATTTGGAACATACCGTCCAATAAGTTTGGAGAACTTCTCGAAGAGCCTGATCTTACTTTTAAAGGTAATTAGAAAATTATCTTAGTCGCTAAAAAAGAAATCCAGAACTTTGGCAAATAGCAATTGTTTCGCCCATATTGATTATGCTTACCGGTATATATCTTTTCTTTGATAAATACTAAATAGTGCAGGCGATGACAGGGCACTGATTTGATTAAAAGGCATGAAATAAGTGTCGTATAAAAAAATACACAAGTATTTAAAATCAACATTTCATTTCGACTACTCTTGTATGATTTAATGTTAGACTCTTCCATAGCTGTCACTGCTCGATACCCAGTACTAGTTTATAACGTCTCTTTCCCTGAAATGCAATTTTTCTTCTTTTTACTTCATTTTGTATATATATGTATGTATGTTTATTCGTCTCGTAAAAGCAAAAACACAGGAGTTAGTAAATATCAACATTGAAGACGGGATGTATACACAAGACCATAATGGCCTAAAACACATGAACGTGCGGCATACACCCCTTATGATAAGCATAAAATGCAATAAATCGAATAAGTATAATATGGTCCTTCATACAGACAGTTGTGCGAGGAGGGTGGATTAGGCAACATGGGTAACGGTGGAGTATGCCCAACTGTTTGTACAAAGGAGTTGGTAGGACAAGACAACATCAATAAATAGAGACAATACAACATGAAATATAATACATAATATATATACATCTACACAGTATGATGACAAAATAAATTATTACCGATTATATTTTTCACTGCATATATGTTTAGGACAACCGGGCAAACCTATGGTTCTCTGCTTTCACCCGCTGGCTGAAAATGTCATCGCATCAGGAGACGTCGAATCAAATATTGTGATCTGGGATGTGAAGACTGGTGACACGGTGAGCATTTGTTCATATACTTAGTGTAGAGCAGTTGGTCCCAACCTTACATGGCTTGTGGCACCTTTCTGGAAGCTTCAAGCACTCATGGGTCCTCTGTTTATCATCTCAATGGGGTCAATAGTGCTGTTTTGATATGTAGACTCCAAATTTCATTATGTTCAAGCAATTCATGCTCAACAAAGTGAAAACACCCTATGAAATAACCTTATCAAGCAATGAAACTAAGAAAAAAAAGGGGAATTTTCTTATTCAGTGAAGAGTAAAATCAGTTATGCACTCATTATTGTGGCTCCCCTCCAATTGCTGGGTGGCCTCGTTGGGGGCCATAGGCCCCAAGTTGGAAACCACTGATGATCCGAAAACAGAAATCATAAATTTCTTAGTTAACCACACTCCTACAGAAATGAATAGAATTTTTTTAATTTTGTGCCCAAAAGTTTTCAGTAATCTTACTTCAAGTTTATAATTTTCAGTATTTCGAATTATCTTGTGATGCTGGTGAGATAATGAGCATAGCATGGAGTCAAAATGGGAAGTTTATTGCTGCATCAACAAAAGATAAGAAGTTGTTCATTTTTGAACCAAGGAAGAGTAACGAACCGATACAGGTAAGGGACTTTATTTCTACCCCCCATGACATTTTGCACCAATGTTCCGAATTTTACTTGAAATTTCTATTTTGTTTACGAAAAGAAGTATTCAAAATCAAGTATGCCAATGAATTATTTTTTCAGGTAGGACCAGGGCCAGGAAACAGAAGTTCTCGGATTATCTGGGCTTGCAACGATAAGTTTATTGCGGTCTCAGGATTTGACAGGTGGGTCTTGTTGTCGTTCACTAATTTATAAAGGCTATGTCTCTTCCTTTTTTTATCATGAAGGCTGGTTGTGAAGGGGAGGAAGGTGAAAAAGTTCAAGGTTTGGGAGAGGGGAGCCTGTGAGATTACCAAAATGGTCTCTTGCCAAATTGCTAGAATAGGTAACCAGGTAATTGTTCCAGATGTGTGTCTTTCACATCGTAGAAAGCTGTAACAAGTAGATTGTTGCATGAACCACTCGACGATAACTGAGTTTAGCAATCCAGAGGTGCAATGACAATGTATTCCCAAACGCTTGACATGATGCACCAATGTTGATAATAAATGAAGCACAACCGGTGCTAGCAAAACGATGTAATTTGCCATGCGGAATAATCTCATCGAGCAATGTTACTAAGAAAAAAAAATACATCGTTTTGCTAACACCGGTTGTGCTTCATTTATTATCAACATGAGTTTACCTAGTAGCAATCATGCACTATGATGTGCCAATGCCTAAGCCATGGCCTCTTGTTGAATTAACTTGATAGCGGAGAAGGCCATAAGGAACCAACGGTTATGGAAGTCACTCTACAGCAAAAAGAAGCCTGGCTTTCTTCTTGAACCTAATTATCTCCATTGGTTTCAAACCTGCGAACTCGAGAATTATATGAGCGATAGCAAGGATATTTTTATACACTTACAATGATGCTCCAAACGTGCATTCATGTCTTCTCATCTTGTTATTAACAAGTCTGTATGTATATTAACCAGTTAATTGTTTTGGATGTATGTACTTGCTGGAGAAGTGAGACATTCCAGCTAACTTTCATATACACTATGCTACGCCAAGGAGACCAGCAATCCTTTTTCACAAGATTATGCCTGGTTTTTGATATCTTTTGCTTAGATAAATGTAAAATGCCCATTCGAAGCTTATTCAATATTTATTTTTATCAGAAATTGCTTTTTTTTATCCCTATTTTCACAAATATTTCAGATACCCATGCAGTGGCATCAACAAATAAATAATAGTTATGGGTTTCTCTTCCCATCCCCCAGCATTGACATAAATTTAATATTTTCTGTAACATAGCCAGTTTTACAAATCACTTACAGTATATGTATTTTTGATGCTCCATTTCTTAAAGTTAACAGATTCATTTCAGGTGAGTTTAGGCAGCTTTTGCATGACAAACCAACCAATTAAAGCAATATTTATTGGTTGGAAACCTCTTGCAATACTTTGAATAACTTCTGTGTGTTTGATTTCTGAAATGTTTTGCCAAAAAGTTTTCAAATATATAAATCACTCACTTCCGAATCTTTGCCGATGGTTGGTCTCAAATTTGATCAATATTTTCTTCTAACAGAAGTTAGTGTCAAAAAAGGGGGTACTCCTGAAGTATGCGCACCAGGATGTCGCATAAACTGAACCCTAACCTGGTACACAACCTGAGTTCAAGTTGTGCGCCATCTTGGTGCGAATACATCAGGATGTCCTAAAAAGGTTTAACAGCGACCCCATTGAGACTTTGTCGGCCTACCAGAGGGGTCAGGACCCCAAGTTAGACCATCCCTGTTTTAGAACATGGTCGTCCCACTCAAGTTATCAATGGTGGCATTAAAAGCATGTTTACGATGCTTAGCACAAGGTTCTACTATGTGGCTTGTTTTCTCTTTAATGATTGCAGCCCCTTTACATTCATTATTTCATTTTTATCAACCATGCATCGCTTTTATGATGATCAAGCAATCCACAGGAACTTGCTGACATAAAAGCTGCCTCAGCCTTGACCTGCTCCTAACATCTTGCTGAAATTTGCATAATTCCTTATTTGGAATTTCACTAATTTTGGAGGAAATTTACCCCCAATTTTCCATTGTTTCTAGCTTTCCTAGGACATTTTCTTATAATTTTTGTAAAAAAAATGCTGATGGATAATCTGTAGTTTTCTGGTGAATTCCCTCATTTTGAATGGCTACCTTTTCAAGATTTTGCCTAAGATGTTTTTGTCATCTATATTGAGTAATGGAATGCCCACAATTATTCTGGATATTTCTTGCTATATCTTTTGGCTCTTCTGACTTCTTCTCTTCTGACTGTGAGTTATACACACACCATAGGATTGTGTAAACGTACATATTTTTTCAGCGCTTATTTGCAGTTTTTGCTCTGAACGGCCATTGATATATCAAATAACTTGTCATCAAATAACTTGTCATGACTGGGCATATCGAGCAAACCAGTGTTGAAATGCGCAATGCGTAGGGTTTGTGATTAGATTGTGAAGGTTTTATTACGGCCTTGTCCGTTTTTGTGTCACCTCTCTGTGAACCGGCGATGGGCCGCGACCCAGTGGTTGCCGACCACTGGGTTATAATATAATTTAGTGTCTCAAAACAAATTTTTTTACACAAAGAATATAATCGCCAATACAGTTGTTTTGTTAATATAATTCAGGGAACAAAGCGTCGCGGGGCGGATTACATTGTTTTCGCAGGCCGGATCTGGCCCGCGGGCCGAAGTTTGCCAACCCCTGATTTAAACCTTACAGGAATAATAGTATCCCAAAATATAATAAGTGACTCTTTTTATTACCTTGTTCAAGGTATACTCTTTAAAAATTAAAAATTACTACGTTTATTTTAGGTCAAGCAACCGTACAATTTCACTACATTCGACCACAGATCTGGCAAGTGGTCCTGTCTCCAGTGAAAACTATACTGCCACGCCCTCTGTAATGATGCCACATTATGATGCCGATAGTTCTACGCTGTTCATTGTTTCAAAGGTAATACTATAAGTATATGTTTTTCTCTTACCAAGGCCCTATGCTTGGTTGACGCATCTTTCTCATCACTTATTCGCAGAACTGTCGATTCGGAGAGATTTAGAGATGATGTGAAAAAAAACAATATTATTGTTTAGATATCTCAAAGATAGTTTAAAAATAAATTTAAATTCCTTGTGTAGTTGTAAAAGATTTTTGGGGCTCCCGAAGTATGCGAACCAAGATGGTGGACATGGGAATGTAATATGTATACTAGGTTAGGGTTAGGCCATAATTTTAGGTATAAATACTACGGGAGGCTCTTGGCTAGTCTTCGAACTGATAATAGGACTAAAATAAGGAAAATTGGGAAAAAATTATCGCCTAACCCTAACCTGTTACCCATGTCACGTTCCGATGTCCGCCATCTTGGTTCGCATACTTCGGAAGCACTGATTTTTGCAACCATCCAGGATGCAGGGGGCCAAAAAAATGCTATAGCGGCTTGCATATGGCCCAGCATTGACTTGGCGGGATATACTGGCCTCGTACAAAAAATTGGGTATTCCCATAGTATGTGTACCAGGTTAGGGCTGTTTGTGTTAGCCAACTGAATTTACCTAGCCAAGTGCCCCCTGCCCATAGGTTTCAGTCCCTTTACACAACTTGATATAAAATAGGCGAAAAAAATTAGTCACCTCCATATTGGTACACATACTTCTGGAGCGCAAAAAAATGTGCGACTTGCACCTCTTCTACTGCCTGGTCTTGTAACTGTCGTAACGCGCCTAACAGCCAGTTTTCTCGTAACAAAGTTCTTCCGAACAAACATCTGCTCTTACAGATGTGAGTCTGTATTTAATTTAAAATATCAAAACTTTATAGGGTGATGCAACTATTCAATCACTGGAGATCAGTGAAAATGAGCCACCTCATCTTTTCCGTATTGCAACCTTCAGCAATGATGCCCCAGTTCAAGGAATTTCTTTTCTCCCCAAGAAGAATATTGATGTCAAGAAAGTCGAGTTTGCTCAAGGCTGGTGCTTGTCTAAAAATACACTTCAGCCAATGTCATTTACTGTGCCAAGAGTAAAGGTGAATTTTAATCCATTTTCTAAATTGATTCTGCCCTGGCAGGAATGGTGAAAGCTGAATAATCGATTATTCTTAATCAGATGTGATGGCCTAGCAGTCAAAGCGTTAAACTAATTGAGTTGGCATTGGCGTTTACGCATCTTTCAAATCCCATGGCTATATTTATCAAGTCCATGCTTCTGAAAACAAATAACTAACTAATTCCATACCCAACATGGACTTGTAACTAGACGAGACGCCATGGTTAGCCATATGATTAGGCAGTCTGATCAGATTTTTTCCATTATGTTTATGTAAAGTTGGAATTAGTGTCATCATGATGACTCTGCAGTGTGGTTCATCGTGCTAAACGTTAGGAATACGCTCGCCACCGCACCCTGATTACCATGTGTTACCACGTTTGAATCCCATGCAGGTTAATTAAGTGCAAGTGGATTGCTGGACTCTTCCACAATCAAGTCCATGCATCTGAAAACGAATAATTAGCTAACTAATACCATACCCGTCATAGACTGGTAACCAGACGAGAGACCGTGGTTTGCTATATTCTACTAGGTTATCTCCTCCTCCGGGATAAATATGGAAATCTTACCTATTTGTTTCAGATGGAATATTTCCAAGACGATCTTTTCCCTCTGACGTCCGTTACCTGGGAGGCGTCAATGTCAGCATCAGAATGGGTGAACGGAGGAAACAAAACACAGAGGAAGCTTGATCTGAAGCCATCGACAATGACAAAATGTAGGGACTCAAGTATATTTTTAAGTTGGCAACTCTATTCTGCCATCGAGTGTTCCATGATAGAGAATATTCAAAGCAGATTAAACATATTATGCTAGGATTTACATATTTATCCTGAAGGAGAAAGTCACTAACATGGCTAAATCGGTTCCATTACATTTGAACCCACGTACATTTGAACCCATGACAATTGCACCTGCATACTATTGCACCTATGGAAATTTTTTTGTTTTACGGATATTTGAACCCATACTAACCCTGACCCATGGGTATTAGCACCCGCATATAGATTGAACCCGCGGATATACACATGGGTTCAAATGTACGGTCACCGGCTAAATCATGTGTCCTCCCACGACCTCTCATGCAATTATCCAATTATGATGGAGGGAAGTTTTCTGAACCCCGCCCCCTCCCCTGCCCCCAACATGGCGGTGAGGAGCCCAGCAATCCCTTCGCATGTAATTTTCCCTGGGGGTTACTAACCTGCAAATTCACACGGAGCATCAGGGGTGAGATGGCAAGCGTATTCCTAGCGCTTGGCACCATGAGCAACAAGTCGCACCGATTACAAAAAGTAAAAGTGTGTGTTTTGCAAAACACTGGGCTGTATAAATCAATGTTTTATTGAGTACTTGACATGAGAAAAATTTGACATAAACAAACTGAATTACTTCTGAAGAGTAGTATTGCAATATTTATACTATGGAAGTAGTGCTTCAGTGGTTTCATCCATCATGCTGTGCAGTCATTGGTCACTTTGAAAATAAGACCAAAGCACAGTTATTTCTGGATGACACCTGGACAAAATGTGAAATGAAATTAACATAGGATTCCTCGTAACCCCTATTGAAGATCACTGAAGAAGATCTTACTTTAATTTTTGTTTCCTAATTTTCTCTAGTGAGTGACGCCCCACCAGATGAAGTGAAACCCAAGAAATATGAATCGTACGACGTTTCAACTTACAAAACAGACGAAGAAAAGAAAGAAGAGGTAAGATTTGGTTCAAAGCGGGCCCGTTGTTACTGGATTTACATATTTATACCGAAGAAGAGAAAAGTCGGCATGGTGAACCACTGCCTCTAGTCCGGTTATCAGTTCATGTTGAGTATGAAAATAGTTAGCCAGTTATTTGTTTCAGATGCATTAACTTGAAGGTGAAGGAAGCCGTAACCAACCATCAGTTACAAGACCACCCTATGGCGGCTATGTATGTTTATTCGTCTCTTAATAGCAATATAATAGAGTAAGTAATTATAAATACTGAAGACGGGATGTATGCACAAGACCATATTGGCCTAAAACACAAATGTGCGGCATACACCCCTGGTGGTCAAACAGACAGAGTACCGGTACTTGTTTAAGTCAGGGTTGTGGAGTCTGAGTCGTGTTTTCATTCCTCGGAGTCTGAAGTCGGAGTATGGAGTAGCTGTTTAAACCAGTGGAAACCAATAAACTGTGGAGTCAAGAGTGGTCATGTTTTCACTCGAGTCTGGGTCAGTGGTAGGGCTGGGCATTTTCGAATACCTTGTGATTTCAGAATCGAATCGAATCTCGAAAATATATAATTGTAAGCGACTTTATTATAGTAATTGGTCCTCTCGACAAATGAATTACTGATTACTGAGTGTTCACACAGAATAACAAACACGTTTTATCAATAACTCACTACAGAAAATAGTCATATGTTAGAATTTCGTTGAAAAAATATGACTCTAATGAGAAAAAAATTGAGGAATTCACCTCGACCTTTAGCGGTAAGATAAAAACAAGATGGCGGCGATTCGAAATTTAGCTCTGAACTAATTTACCATTCGATTTGAATATTCGATTCGAAATGCCCACCTCTAGTCAGTGGTTCTCAAACTATTTAAGACATTTTCAGAATTTTCAAGTTTCGCACCCCACCTCAAAAATAACTAGTTAACAATCAGCTACAATTCGAAAGATAGAAAGGCGAAAGTAAGTTTGATTCAAAAAAACGTTGAAAATAAGTGGATGGAACATTGATATCCAAAATAAAGAAATGTAAATATCCGAAATTCGTGCAAGATCAGATCTAACAAATATTTTTAAATAGCTTCACGCCCACTCAATAAATTGTCTAAGCCCCCTTTGTAGGGTACGCCCCATTATTTGAGAACCACTGGTCTGGGTCATACTTTTGAACTCCATGGATTTAGAGTTTCAGACATCACTGGCAAGGAAAGGTCAGAATTGTCCTTAGAAATTTAAAAAGCACTACATTTTAATACGTGGAAGTTTTGGTTATCAAAATTGATGTTCTCGCAGTTCACAGATTGAGCCTAAAGTAAGGCACGACCGTGTTGCGCATCGCTCTAAACGTTAAGAATACGCTCGGCACCTCACCTCTGATTACCCTGCACGCCTTTGCAGGTTCGAATCCCATGCTGGGACAGTTATGTGCGAGAGGATTGCTGGACTCCTCGCAATTGTAGGGTGGTTCACTTAACCGTTCGGCGGTCACGGCTCCTTTCACCATCAAGTCCATGCTTCTGAAAACAAATACCTGGCTAACTAATCCCACACCCAACATGAACTGGTAATCGGACAAGAGGCCGCGGTGTGTCATGTGATTAAGCTGTCTTAACGGCTTTCCTCTCCCCCGGGAGAAATATTGTATATCCTTTCCTCCCTCTTTCTTGTTGTATATTATTTTACATATTTTGTTTTATTCCAGTTACTTGAAGCAATGTCTGGCAAGCTTGATCTTGATAAACAACTGGAACAAGATACAATGGAAGGTGTTGATGAAGATGAATGGGTGAGTTGAAGACATTTTAGTCAGAAGGATTGGGTGTATGGCTCTGATCGCCATTTTCCATAAAGGACTATTTGGCTGCTATATAGACAGCTAGCAACAAATAGGGATGGATATATGGTCCCAATTAGAGGTAAGATCGGGTCCAAAAATTCCTTCCCGGCCCGTGGGGATTAAACCCAACCCGAGCCCAACTAATTCACTGGATTTGTAGGCCCGAGTCCGAAGCAAACCCGAAATTTCATATTTGATTTAGGAGTTCATTGAATTGTCATTGCAAGAGTTCAGTACAGTATGTGTCATGTTGGTGTGGCAACTTCTGTTTTTTTGCAGACCACGGTCTCTCGTGGCCAAAACACGGTCGAAACGCCTCATTTAAAAAAAAAGTCAGCGATACAGAAGCCCGACCCGAACGTAATGATTGACATTTCAGGCCCGACCTAGCCTGCAATTCAGACCGGGCAAGGCTTCAGATCTTATCTGTAGTTCCAATCGCCAATTAGATGGGCTCCTTTCTATAAGAATATTGGACTGCTATATAAACAGTAGGAATAGGGGTGTATTCGTAGTTGTATTCGCCATCAGAATTAACTCTTCCGCAGAAGATTGTTGGGTGGCTTTAAATGCTGCTGGTCAGGAACAAGGGCGGGTCCCAATCGGCATCTGAATTGCCTCAACTATATATGGCTATTGGGCTTCCATATAGACAGTAGGTTAGGAATAGGGATGGATAGATGGCCCCAATTGTCAATTGAATAACCTGCTTTGTAGAGGGCTATTGGGTTGTCGTATAGACAGCAGGTTAGGAACAGCTAGCCCCTATCCTATTTGAATAATCTCCTACGTAGAAGGTACGGTATGCCAGCCCAATAGACCTGTTATGGAATATGCCATTCAAATGGCTATTTATAGTGTATCCATTCCTACTCGTCTATACGGCGGCCTAATAGCCTCCTATGGAAAAGGTTAATCAATTTGGAATGAGGACCGCGCCAATTCACTGCTGGTTGGTTATGACCTCTTTCATCACTCAGTTTCAGAAATCTGAAACAATAACTGGCCAGCCATTGCCATACCCAACCTGAGCTGATAACCGGGTGTGAGGCCGTGATTCACCGGATGATTGAGATATTATATCGACTTTGCATTCCATCGCTATTCCTATTCAATTATTTAAAGTGCCAACAACTGTTCCTATTCATGTTTTACAGGATGACTACTAAATGCAATCCAAAAAGATTGAAATTCAAAAGAAGTCACGTCTGAAATCATACCAAATCATCATGATAACCATCGTTATAAAGATCAATGAAATGAATAAACATTTGCACCTGTAATTTACATAGATTTCTTATACTCAGTATATCTTATATAGAACAAGTTGGACACTTAACTAAAAACAACTCCTAACATATATGCCAACACAGAGGTGTACAATAGGCGTGCCACAGCCTGGCCCTCCAAGCAACTTATTGTGGCCCTTCTCAACACTCAGAATTCAAGGGCATAAAATCCTAATCCGACTGTTTATGTTTGAAAATGAGACACATATATTTTTGGCTCTTGTCGCTGTGTTAAATCTTTCACCGTTTTGCCCGATGCTTCATTATTATAATGCTAAGCAGTAGCCTTTTCCACTACATTTTTGTGTGGTCCGGCTAGATATATGAAGTTAGTTATATTGTCCACCTACAAGAAATGTGACGCTCCTGAAGAATGTGCACGAAGATGGCGGACACCGGAACGTAGTATGTGTACCAGGTTAGGATTAGGCCATAACTTTATTCCAATTTTCCCTATTTCAGTTCTATTACCAGTTCGGGGACTGTCTGTTTTAGCCAAGTGATTATACCTCTGCCCAGTGACTCTCGTAGTGTTTGTGCCTGAAATTACAAGGTAACCCTAACCAGGTACACATATTACGGTACGTTCCGGTGTCCCTCATCTTGGTTCACAATTCACATACTTCTGAAGTACCAAGTTCTGAAGTACCCCTGTCCTAAGGTGGTGCCAGTGTATGAGCGCTATCAGAATATCAAGCAATGCAGTGAGTCTTTTTTGACAATTGCCCTTATAAAGGCATTATTGGTAGCGCTATTGCAATTTTAGTGTTTAATGTCTGACTCCTATGTACAAAGTCTGCTATTATTCAAATTACTCTCTCTTGGATAATGATGCAATAATATTTAAGATTTTAAAGCAGGACTTCCTAATTTTTTGACAGCTCGCCACTTCTTGCAATATATTGAAATTTTTCAGGACATTGTAATGCCAGCGCCCCGTTTTCCGGGTTTTACGTTCAACGTCGGTATTGTTTTGCAAGCACGAAGTTTCTCTGATTCTATGTAATCTATCTAAATTGTGAGATTTATGTTTTGCATGAGTTTCAATAATTGTGTTTCGAATCAAAAGAAAGTGCAATAAATATAGTACTTTGTGTGAACTTGGTGTACTTTTTGCGGCCCACTAAAATTTGTTACCCGCACCTTTCTGGGTCGCGACCCCCAGTTTGGGAAGCCCTGTTCTAAATAATTCTAAACAAGTTACCGTACTGATTTTTCTGTTATAATATTTACCATTCGATGAAATATATTAAAACGTGAAGTACTATGTCCTATTTCATTGAATAGGTTCTAAACCTATGTGAGGATAGTTATGTGCGAGAGGATTACTGGTTCACTTAACCGCTGGTCGGTTACGGCTTTCTCCACCATCAAGTCCAGGCTTCCGAAAACAAATAACTAACTAATCCCAAACCCGACATAAAATGGTAACCGAACGAGAGGCCGTGGTTCGCTATATGTTCAAGCCGTCTTATCGGCTTTCCTCTCCACCGGGATAAATATGTAAACCCTATCCTATTATAGGCTGTATCAAAAGTGGGTTAACAGCTGAACGAAAATCTAATACTCTACGTCTGGGCCTCCTTTATATACGGTAATTTAGGAATAAGGGATAGCGATGTGTATAAAGAGAGTTAAGGACTTCGTAATGTTTTTATAAAGATGTAATTGGAAGTGCCAGTTCACAGCGCAATGTTCTCCGATATTATTCAATGTATACAGGGTGTCCATAAAATCTCGTTTCAATTTTGTTATGAAGTCAGTTCGCAATATATCTTAACCAGGTTTGTTGTATTTTAATCAGTAATTGTTCAAGTATATTTACTTCATTTAATTTTATTACGTCTGTAAGGGTCAAAACAATAATAAATTCTTTTTGCAATTTTAAATTTTTTTTAAGATTTCATGGACACCCTGTAATCCATGAAGCCTAGTTAGACCTTCTATCCTTGAGAAGCTATTGTGTCTTACGAAGTACAACAACCAAACATGTGACAAGTATGATTTTGGTTTTTGATCCGTCTTAGTTTGCATGGTATTTTTAAATATAGGTTGAATAAGCGATGATTCCACTTCGTTATACAAAGAAATATACACGTAGTCATGGGCCGACACCTTGGGCTATTCCAATACAGACATAATAATCGCAAGCGCTTGTTAGCAGTCTGTGTGGGCCAGTGGTTTGTCTTACCTTGGACCAGTCAATAAGAGGACGGTGCTCACTAGCGGATATAGGTTAAGTGAGAAAAGTGGCAGTTGACTTTTGCGCTCTTGTGGAGAGAGGAGATTTCGTTTTTTATAAACAGGAAAATATGATGCCGTTGTAATTCTATTATAACAAGAGAGCTACGCACAAATATATGGACACGTTAGACCAGAGCGAATCAGTCCTTACCGGTACCGTACCTTTGACGCTACCGGTACCGGTACCCTCAAAAAAGTTCTGAATTTCCAGCAGCAAGAATTTTGCAGAATCAAAACGTACAGCCAGTCATGACACTGACTAAAATCCGTGTTTCCATGGATAAAAAATAATACTGCAAAATTTTAGACGAAATATCAAATTTCATAGAATTCACGCAAAATTTTGAAATAAATAAAAGTAATAGCCTTCTGGAGAAAAATTTTATCTTCAACCACTGAAAATTTGAAAGCAATTGGTCCAGTATTCGAAGAGAAAAGCTTTTTAAAAACGTGTCAAAGAACAACAACAACATAATATTGAAACGATCGTTATGGTCACTAAACGTGTCCAAAAAGGAAACAAGACAGACACGAGCCGGGAACTGTTATTTTCTGATGTAACAAAATAAGTTTAATACATTGTGACGAAACAGAGTGGTCACCTAGCTTATGCGCTAAATTTCAGCAAGGCGGTGTTGACGAAAGATGCTTTTTAGGATAAGTGACAGGCTGCGGAAAATAGAATTCGATGTCTTTCATAAGTGTTTTTATGGATGTTTGGATGAGAGGGGTCGTGCATGAACAGGATGGGTGGCGTGGAGGGCATTTTAGGAATGGGATGATTAGAATGAGGGAGATATGTACCTGGCAATGTAGCGTAGAAAGTTCGATTTAGGTTAGAATTTGTTTTAGCTGGGAATAGTAAAAATTAGGATTAATAATGGAGGGTCGCAGGGATTTCCAGGTTTTGATTTGCTTGGCAACGTCACTTTGTGAATTGGTACTTCTATAGCGTGAGGTCTGCCACATTATACCAGTAGTCTTAGGGCTAAAATAAGTGTCATCTGTTAAAAATTGGAAGTGTAACAGTACCGGTAATCGTCACCCTGTCGTACTGTCTTACAGAAGATTTAGGCTGTAGTGTGCTATACCCACGTTATAAGAGCATCCAGGATTTCCTACATTCGATATACAATAATTCCACAATAAATTAATTTATAGACTACCAACAGTTGAAGGTATTCATGAAATCCGCACCGGTGGAAGTCGATATAAATAGATTATACATATATTATGATTATGAATACCCTGATCTTATATTAAACAATGGACTCTCCCCTTATGCAGTTGGGAAAACTCAATTTAATCGTCCACTATACCTGTATGTGGAAATACAGCACTCCCGTAGTATGTGCACCAAGATGGTGGACTCTTGGAAACAGTATGTGTTCCAGTTTAGGCCATAACTTTATTCCAATTTTCCTTATTTTAGTTCTATTACGAGTTCGCGGACCAGCCAAGAGACTCCCGTAGTATTTGTACCCGAAATTCTGGCCTAACCTGGTATACATCATACGTTACGGTATGCGTCATCTTGGTTCACATACTACGAGAGTGCCGGAAATCCCTACAAGGTAGAAGGGTTTATTCCTTCGTCAACGCAAATTAAATGCTCTCGGAAGTGCCAGGTAATCCCATAGTAACTATTTCACTTCACAAGGGTTCGAAAATTTGTCCTATCTTTAGACTTCTAGACTAGTAATATATGTCGAAATTTGCTTTTAAAACGGAAAAAGGGCGGAGCTGTTTTTTAAATCTGATAGACTTTTCTCAAACCGTCACTATTGATGCATATAATGTCAAGACATTTTAACCAGATGCCATACCAGAAACAACTATACTATGTTCTTGTGCTTGCATGGTGAGTAAAGTTTTACCCTATTCTAAGCTAGATTATTTCTAAGCTAGGTTACTTCTTAGACTGCTTAGTTTTAGAATTTTCTTCCTTAGCTCAAGTTAAATTAAGTCACACAGATAGCAATTACATCTATTTTATTCAAAATCAAAAACTATACTCAAAATAATGGAGCAAATAAATGAGAAAGTTTTCTTATAAGCAATCATGTTTCTGTTTGCCGATTATTCTGTGCACGCAGTAAAAAAATACACTTTAATACTTAAATTTATGATATTTGCATTGAATAACATAAGAAATTGAATCGTAAAAAATTTCAAGCCAAATACGGAAACGTTTTGAAATGTTTCATCCATTCAAACAATTTGGGGAAACTCTTTAATTTATTTTCCATTTTGTAAGATAAAATTGGCGGACCAACACTTATTGCTAATTTTCACTGGTCAGTATATGAAGTAAGTAACTGGCGATAACTAGGTATCTAATACTCAGTAATATTAGTTATTTCTTATTTATTTTATTTATTAGTAGGTTTCACCCTGGGATGTATATATTTATTAGTTTACAAAACAATCGGACAAGGGGGGTGGTTTTGGAGGTCGCCCACAGGGGCGTGCCAAACCCTTTTGATGCCCGGGGCGAGTTTCTGATAATGTTGCCCCTTATACCTAACCTCAAAAATAATCGGAAATTTCAGTACGGATCAAATATTTCAATGATTATTCTGTCTTCTATCCATTGTTGACATCCATGACTAAACACATTATGTCAGTTTTTAAATAAATAAAAGCATGTGTAATAATGCAGACTACAGCTCGGTTTCGCTGCCCCCTGTAACGTGCTGCCCGGGGCGGCTTGTGCTCTGACTTGTAATTATAAAACATTATATACATTGATTGTCACACTTTAACATCACAAAATTATTTTCCTTAATGCAATTCTAGATCGTCGCTGACGTGATATCATATATGTCCGACGGTGATTGAGTTACTACAACAAAATCTTTCATCTGTTTCAACGTGTTCAGTCTGATTTGTCTTCGGATCAAATTTGTACAAGGAATATCTTCTGAAAAAATATTTGTAATTTGTACAAAAAAAATTGCTGAAAACATATTCGTAATCTTTATTAACTATTTACTTAATTTCGAACAAATCTTTGGGCAGAAGGGCGACTTACACGAGCTTTGGAAGCAAACAATTTAAACCATCTACTTTGATTCAATAAGTAAAAAAATATATTTTCATATTATCAACTTCTAAATTAATATTTTATATTGAATCGTTCATGGTGAATCGATAAGCGACAACAATTGTCGAAAACAAGTTTCTCAATGCAGCATTTACCGACTGGGTAGAAATTTTGCCCCAGGTAAGAATTTGCCGTTTTATAAAGGTAATTTTTCTTTTTATAATATTACTAATATTCTTTAGTTTTTCATTAGAACTATAATACTTATTTATGGACACATATCAACCACCGGTATTTATACTGTACATAAACGGTAGTACCACATACGCTTGCGCCCACAAAGGATCTTTTAAGGTAAAAACTAAAACGTTTCCTGCATGGGAGGATTTACATAGTGCAACATCTGCTCGGAATGAACTAATTATGAGATATCATATGTTGTTCAATCTGCAATAGCCGGTATGTATACCACAATGCTTGAATATATTAATAGAACTGTCAAACCTATTTCATGGCTCAATTCAAAACTCCAATTATTATTAAAATAGCGATAAATTCTTAAAATCGTGTCTTGTATGAAAAAGTCGTCGTCTAAAATTTCAGCAATAAATAGCCTTATTCAAACAATGACTAAAAGATCTTCATCAGGCGCATCATTGAATAATCCAAACATATCCGTATTGCGTACGTACCCTTCCACAGCTATAATATATTTCATTGTTGACAGCAACAATATGTTTGAATTCCCAACCAGAATCCGGCAACTGATTTTGCAAAAATATTTGCTGCCATGAATTGTTGTTTATGTCATAGCAATGAAGTACTCGACCACCTGCAATGTGAATTTAATACACTCTAGGTTGGATAGGAAATGGAATTTGAACCCGAGATGCCAATACAGTTTAGTTTAGTCCAACGCTTCAACCTTCAAATCATCGCATCGATCACGGATTTTGGATTATTGAGGCATATG